AGGAGAGCCCACCACCTCCCGAGGAAGTGTCTGAGGAACCGCTGTAACTGTCAGGAAGTTCTTCCTGATGTTTAGCCAAAACCCCTTTTGATTTAATTTCAACCCGTTGGTTCTGGTCTGACCTTCTGGGGCAACATTTAGCCCAGATATATGTTCTTATAGTATTGTTAAATAATTATACGTACATTTTAAATGTTCTTTTAGTGTATTGATGTTTGTCATCTAGGGGGACCCTATTTGGGTGGAAAGGTGGCATACAAATGATTAAAAAAACAATTTAGCCATCATCCAAATTAACCATTCCACTTTCAGCATTGTGTGTAGAATAGCCAGGAGATCCTAAGATTGTCTGGCAGCCAGAAGTTTATTTATTTGTTTATAATTTAAATTTATAGACCGCCCTACCCCTGAATACACACAGCTCAGGGCAGTGAACAACATAACAATAAAAACATTCATAGTTAATAAAACAATTTAAATAATACATCGATTAAAAATCTCAGGTGGCGTTAACACTTCAAATTCCAATTATGTCACTGCCCCATGGAAAGGTGGAAAGGAGGCAGGAAGGGAAGGAAGGGGGGGAGAGGAAAGAGTTCTAGCTCTTTTAGCATTTTGCACAACTAGGTGGCAAGCAGTGTTCCCTCTAAGCCAAGTTAGTGTGAGCTAGCTCACAGTTTTTTAGACACTTTTGCCTTAGCTCAGGAAGGATGGCTCCAAGGGAAACTAATTTATGCCGCGGTCAAACCGCTGGCTCACAGCTTTAATGCCAGTAGCTCACAAAGTAGAATTTCTGCTCACAAGACTCCACGGCTTAGAGGGAGCATTGGTGGCAAGCGATACTTGTTTTTAAGGGAAGAGACTTATCAGAGGTGTTGCCCTTGCCTGCTTCTGCATCACGCCCCTGATATTCCTTGGAGGTTGCCTTTCCAAATACTATCCAAGGCCGACCCTGCTAAGCTTCCGAGATCTGACGGGATCAGGCTAGCCTGGGCTATCCAGGTCAAGGCACATTCAGCAGTAATACAGACGTATCAGCAAATGCCTGGTTTTGTTTTATATATATATAAAATGAAAATTAGCCTTACCAAATTAGGTTATGGACTTTAAAAATGCAGCAACTTCTATGTGTCCCTTGGTCTTGGCCTGCAAGACAAAATTTCAGTGCTGGTAAGCCCCACCACACAATTTGTATGTAGATGCACGTGCACCTGCCACTGTACACTTCAAGTCAACCCCTGACCCAAATTCCCGTCCACAGTTCTAGCCAAACTGGAACCTGTAAGAAGAGCCTTCTCTATGGTGGCCCCTTTCGCAAGGGGTTTACAAAATCAGGCATGGGGTAGAGAAGGCAGAGAAAGAAGTACTTATCACCATTTCTCACAATACAAGAACTCGTGGGAACTCGATGAAATGGATAAGCAGTAGGCTTAGAACAGATAAAAGAAAGTACTTCTTCATCCAAAGAGTCATTAACATGTGGAATTCACTGCCACAGGAAGTGGTGGTGGCTACAAGCATAGTCAGCTTCGGGGGGGGGGGGCTCCTTCTGGACTGAAAAACACCCATTTTGTGCCTATCTTGTCCCCTCCCCGCCAAAAAAAATGCATACAACCGAGGTCCACGTGATGTATTACCACATAAAGCGGAGTTTTCCCATCATAACCACGCTGATTCATGCTCACGCCACCCAAGTGCCAAGCTCTCAGCCCCTCAATATCTCCGTTAAAAGCAAGACTGGGGAAAAGAAAAGGAAAAAAAAATGCATCCTGTAAGTAAGAATTACAGAACATATGAAAAGTAGTGGCGTTCCAGGCGTAGCATAGTGAAATCAGCTCACATTTATTGATTACATCGGAACAAAGAGAGATAACTTAACCGGTGCGAGGCCAGCTTATATTTGTGCACGCACTCACACCCAACATCCCACCCCAATTCCTGTGACAGATTCTATATACATGGCCTCGTTAACGATAGGTTCTCTTCAGGATCCTAGCGCTCCCATTGGCTCTCGCTAGGATCCACGGTGGCTATTGTTCTAGACCCGAAGGTCTGTGAGTCCGGTAGACCGCATGGCCAGGCGCACGCGGTCGCAGCCATCTTAATATTTGTTTATTTCGGATTTCTACCCCACCCTCCCAGCCGTAGCTGGCTCAGGGCGGCTTACACAAAACAATTAAGTTACATTAAAATATGAATTACGATTAAAACAATTCTAAAACCTTAATAGTGTCAGTAATCGTTGATGTTCTTGACGGTAGCAGCCATTATTCAAAGTTCTCCACTGGCAGTCAGCTCACAGTACTGACTGTCCGTGCAGTGCTTGCATAACAACATATAAGTCATCTTACTTATAAGACACTACCTTGAGAGACGCTCTAGTTGGCTTCTAATGTCCTGGCCCCACTGGTGGACCTCCTGATGGCACTGGTATTTCTGGCCACTGTGGGATACAGAGTGTTGGACTGGATGGGCCTTTGGCCTGATCCAACATTGGCATCTCTTATGTTCTTAGTTGGTTTACAAATTTAAAATACATGTGTGTCTGTTTAATTGTCATGGCTTTTACGGAAGAAATTCTAGGAGCTGTTCAGATAAACAACTGCTAGGTGGGAGTCCAGTAGCACCTCGGAGACCAACGGTATTTTTTTTTGGGGGGGGTGGGCTTTTGAGGGTCAAAGCCCCCTTCATCAGATAGAGAGCTGGCTACCATCATTCATGCTTTGGTGACCTCCAGGTCAATGGACTGCTGATTTGCTTCCTAGCCCAATTTAAAGAGCTGGCCATTCCCTTCAAAGCCCTAAACCTTGGACCAGAATACTTAAAGGATAGAGTGCTCTGTACATGCCCGATAGATTTCCCTGTTTTCTTCAACTTTTAAAAAAGTTTTTCCAATAAAATAAAAATAAGAACAGAACGGGATGAAATGTCTCACTAAACATTTGCCCTGCTAGAATGATGAGCGAAATGCTTTTTAAGGCAAAGATATAAAACACTGCTGTGGCTTCACAGAATCACAGAGTTGGAAGGGGCCATACAGGCCATCTAGTCCAACCACCTGCTCAGTGCAGGGTCAGCCTAGAGCATCCCTGACAAGGGTTTGTCCAGACGCTGCTTGAAGACTGCCAGAGAGGGGGAGCTCACCACCTCCCTAGGCAGCTGGTTCCACTGCTGAACAACTCTTACTGTCAAAAAGCTTTCCCTAAGATCCAGCCGGTACCTCCCCGCCCTTAATTTAAACCCATTAATGCAAGTCCTCTCCTCTGCTGCCCACAGGAACAGCTCCCTGCCCTCCTCTAAGGGACAGCCCTTCAGATACTTCAAGAGAGCAATCCTGTCCCATCTCAGCCTCCTCTCCTCCAGACTGAATGTTCTCAAGTCCCTCAGCCTTTCCTCACAGGGCTTGGTCTCCAGGCCCCCGATCATCCTCTTCGCGCTCTTCTGCACCCCCTCTGTTCTGTCCACATCCTTTTTGAAGTGAGGCTTCCAGAACTGCACACAATCCTCTGTGTTGCCAAAGCTTCCTTTTACTTCTTCAAAATGCTTTCTAACAACAATGTCAAATTTATGCAAGACAATCTAAGGCAGTAGGCAATCACAATTCATGTACACTGTAGAGTCATACAACAGGCACAAATATCTTTCTGCCTGCTTCGGACGCCCCCCGCCTTCTGCAGCGTGTGAAAGAACCAGCCCTGTGTTTAGAAACAGGCATGTCAAATCAAGAAAGAGGTGGTGAGGTCTAGTGGTTTAGAAGTTTAGACTAGGACCAAGGAGAACTGGGTTCAAACCCTCACTGAGCTTAGGCCCAGTCACACTACCTGAACTGAACATAACTCACGGCGGGTCATTGAGAGGACAAAATGGAGGAAGGGAGGCCTCCTGAGCTATTTACAGGACAAAGCAGACTGAAAATTTAACAAAAGGCAGGTCCCCCTAGCTGCTCAGGCCAGCCCTCAACCCTGACCTGGAAAAGACAGGTTGCTTACCTGTAACTGGTGATCTTCGAGTGGTCATCTGTGCATTCACACCCTTGGGAATATACTGCGCCTGCGCTGACCTTCTCGGTACCGGTAGCTAGCAAAAGGGATTTTCGCGCCTCTCCCAGGTCACGCGCCGGCTCCACTGCGCATGACCAAGGAGGGGCACGCAGATCCCGCCAGTTCCTTCTGACCGCCGCCCAACAGCCTTCAAAGAAACAAGATGAAGGGCCGAGAGCAGAGGGGAAGGAGGGCGGGTGGTGTGAATGCACAGATGACCACTCGAAGATCACCAGTTACAGGTAAGCAACCTGTCTATCTTCTTCGTGGTCTCTGTGCATCACACCCTTGGGAGAATAGCAAGCAATAACTCTTACCTGGAGGAGGGGCCGAGGCCCTACATCTGCGCCGTCTGCAATATAGACCGACCCAACGCCACACGACGAGAAGACCGGACATCAAGGGCATAATGCTTCACGAAGGTGAGCGGAGTAGCCCAAGTCGCAGCGTTGCAGATGTCCTCCAACGGCATACCTCGCAGGAAAGCTGTGGAAGTTGCTACCGCCCTCGTAGAATGGGCGCGAAGCTGACCTGGAAGAGGTTTCTTAGCCAAAGCGTAGCATAGCTTGATCACCTCCACAATCCATCTCGACAGCCTCTGGGAAGAGATCTTCTTCCCTTGGGAGGGCATACTGTGAGCAACAAACAAAGCTGGAGACTGGCGAAAAGACTTAGTCCTGCCCAAATAGAACAACAACGCTCTCTTAACATCCAGAGAATGCAATTTCCGTTCCTCTTCATTAGCAGGAGACGGGAAAAATGATGGCAGAACTACATCTGAACGTAAATGAAATTCCGAAACAACTTTCGGTAAAAAGGAGATGTCCAAAGACAATGAAACCCCATGTGGGGAAAAACTTAAGTATGGTGGATCACACCTCAGAGCAGACAATTCGCTGACCCGACGAGCAGAGGTAATGGCCACCAAAAACGCAGTCTTGAGTGACAGCAATTTTAGAGAGCAAGTGGCCAATGGCTCGAAAGGTTTTCCCATCAAAAAACGCAAAACTAAAGCCAAATCCCAGGCCGGGGTTGGAGGACGACGGGGAGGGTACAGGCGAATAAGGCCTTTACAAAACTGTTTTGTCTGAGGATGCGAGAAAACTGAAAACCCATCAACAGATGGATGAAAAGCTGACACCGCAGCTAAATACACTTTAACCGACGAAAAACTGAGACCCAAGTCCATTCTGGACAAAATAAATGCAAAAATAGACCTCAAATCCACTGGCGGAGGAGGTAGATTTGAGGAATTCAAATACTGCAGGAATAGATTCCACTTCCTTGTGTAGGAAGTCCGAGTAGACAGTTTACGACAGTTCAACAAGACATCATTGATACGAGCGTCCATCACTGAAAGCGTATTTCCCACAGAGTCAGCTTGAGACTCAGAGGATCGTAGTGAAGGACCTGGCCCTCCTGAGCCTGGAGGAGATCCAACTCCTGCGGCAGGTGTACAAAGGATCCCTTGGCTAACCTCAACAGTGTCGGGAACCAAACTTGCCGAGGCCACCAGGGGGCTACTAGAAGACAATGGGGCTTGTCGTGTTGTATTTTCACCAACACCCTGTGAAGCAGCGGAATCGGAGGAAATAGGTACAGAAAGTTGTGAGCCCACGATATCAACAGGCCGTCCCCCAGTGACAGAGGGTCCAACCCCGCTCTGGAACAAAACATGGGACACTTCTTGTTGAATCGAGTTGCAAAAACATCGATGTGGGGATGTCCCAGACGTTGAAAAAGAGGGAGGAGATACTTTGAATTCAGCTCCCAATCGTGGTCCGATGCTCCTCCTCTGCTCAGGAAATCTGCTTGCTGGTTCAAAGTTCCTGGCAGATGGGCAGCTTGGAGAGTGATATTCCGATGAAGGCACTCTTCCCATATGTCCATAGCTAGCCTGCAAAGGGATCTGGACACTGTCCCGCCCTGGCGATTGATATAAGCCATTGCAGTTGTATTGTCCGTAAATATTAACACAGCTTTCCCTGCAACCTGTTTGTGCAAGGATCTGAGGGCAAATTTTACGGCCAGCAGTTCCAGATAGTTGATGTGATGACGTTTCCAAAGGGGCTGCCATGGAGCACCCACACAAGTGTCGTCCGTATGAGCACCCCAACCCCACAGGGAGGCGTCTGTGGTGATCGACATCACGGGAACAATCGGTTGGAACGGTGCACCCGCCAGCAAATTGGTGTCCACGAGCCACCACTGCAGGGAGGTAAGGACCTGAGGAGGCACGACTAGTCGAAGACTTGGGGGGTGAAAGGAGGGGCGAAATTTCTTTAGAAACCAAAGCTGCAACGGACGCATGCGAAGGCGTGCACACTCGATCACAGAGGTGGTGGCTGCCATGAGACCCAGGATCCGCTGAACGTGGACTGCTGATGTCACATTGGATCGGAACAAACGTCGAATTTCCAGACGAATGGTATCTGCCCGTTGGCGAGGAAGGTAGGCCCGAGTGGCCAGGGAATCTATGACAGCTCCTATGAACTGCACGCGAGTTGCAGGTTGCAGCATGGATTTCTGCAAATTGACTAGAATTCCAAGGGAGGATAGGGTCGACAGTGTAATGGTGATGTGCTGAAGGAGACAGTCCTTTGAATCTGCCACCATTAACCAGTCGTCTATGTACGGAAAAATCTGAATGCCCTGAAGACGAAGGTGGGCGACGACAACCACCATTACCTTCGTGAA